TACTCGTGTAAGGTATGAATGTTTCAACATTATAGGAAATAAAATAAAGGCTGATTTTATAGATAGAGACTACAAATGAGTGAAGGCAGATTAATGTACTCAGTGAAACTTTGCTTCTCTAGTTGTACAGCTAGGTACCTGATTTCTCAGGCTGTTGGTGTCAATTGTGATGATAAGGGAAGTAGTTTTGGTGAGGAAACTTTCTGTGCCAATGGGTTATGCAAATAGTATACTTAGTACTGATCTGAGGGTAAACATCAGAGTACAACCATTATGGAATTTCTAAATACGATATCGATATTGGGGATTTGAAAAAAAAAAAACGATGTATGATATATTGGCCTATAGATATATTTTGTCAAAAATATATTAAAAACAACCTGGACGAGCACAGCATATGCTCTGTTCAACTGTAGCCTAACTCAAATTCTCATACAAAATTATGATTCAGACAAAGAAACAGCACACTATAAGATTATAAACAACTTTCACCTGTGCTATTTTAGCCTGTGCATCATTGCATTCTTTTTTGTGGTGCTGTATTTAATGTTGCCTAAAATTTGTGGCTTTTATTCCCTTACTCCCTGGCTGACTTTAGCACCACACATGTTGCATCCAACACCAGTTAAATCTTTTGTGAAGTGGCTCCACATCTGACTTTTCCCCTCTGCTATTTTTAGTGTATATTGCTAATTAGATTTCACATCTACAGATTAGCATTTAAAGATGAAAACAAGTGGCTGCATACAGCTTAAAGTGAAAACACACTTGTTAATGGGAGATGTTATGTATCAGATTTATTTTTAAGATTCAATCACAAAAACACCTCAGAAATATAAATGTGTCATGTTTACAGTCCACTGAAAAGTTCCCTCCTTGACTGAACACATGGGATTAAACTACAGTAGATCTAAGGAGCAATGCTACAGCTTTTAAAAAATCCAAACAGGATTAAAACAAATTTTGGTCCTTTTAAAAATTACTTTAATGAAAATATTAACATCTGAAATTATGAGCCACAGTAAAAACTGTATATGGGCATAAAGTGATTTGGGACAGAATAAAATAATCTTATTTTCCTTCTAAAATCTAATATCTTATTTCTCAAAGAGGTAGCTTACCCAGATAAAATCTTAACTGTCCCCAAAACTAGCGCATATAAAACTTGTCTGCTCTCTTTAACATGTGTTTCCACAAGGATGTTTGTTATCATGGAGCACTTTGTCTACTTTTGTATTGTTTGACAAAATCACACCTCAAAATGAAGTAAAAAAGTTTATTTTTCCTCTGCTTCGTTTTCCCTCCCTCTATCCACTAGTAGCTGACAGCTGACAGTATAGCCCCATTTACACTACCTTTTTGAAACTGTGGTGAGATCGGTCGAAGCACGGTAACCCAGAAAACTGTTGAGTGTAAATGGCACGCAAAACTGAATCTGACCATGCCAGACTCAACTGAACCACGTTAAACTGGTACTAGTTTATCAGTAGGGCGCGATTCAGTTCTGGCTCGGTTCTCAGATAACAAAGAGTGCATGTGTCAGGATTTGGTTATAGGTTGAGGACCCAAAAGCAGAGGCAGGAAGACAGAGGTGAACTGTAAGAAAAATTTAATGTTGAATTTAAAGAACTGAAAACAGAGGCAGGTTATCCAAAAATCCAAAAAGAAAACAAAGTCCAAACAAAACAAGAAAATTCAGAGAGTCCAAAATTCAAAGATCTAAAAAACCAAGAAAACACAAGTCAAACGTTACCCAAAAAAAATAGAGTCATCAGGGGAAAAACTGTAACCAGGAGGAAGGCTCAGAGTGACAAGTTGAAGGAAGACAGACGAGGTTAGACGAGGACCCAGCAAACAAGAACTGAAGAGGGAGAGCATTTAAAGGAGACTGAAACAAAGAGAAGACTAATGAGCAGATTGGGAACAGGTGAGCACAGGGCAGGAGAGGAAAAGAGCTAGGGAAAAAGGAGAACACAAGAGGGCAGCAGAGGGGAACAAATAAAAAACCTAGAAGACTGAAGATAACTAGAAAACACAACAAAATAACCATTAAACTACAAAGAATATAAAACATGGAGCAAAGCAAAACTGAAAACTCTAAAGAAAAGTAACTAAGAATGACTAGAGAACACAGCAAAAATAAAAGTAAAACCATTAAAATTAGAAAACAAGGAGTAAAGCAAAAACTGAACACTCAAAAGAAAATATAAAAGAACCAAGACTGAGACAGTAACTGAGAAAAGCCCAAAGAACACAACAAAATAAGAATTAAACCATAAAAAACTATGAAACAAAGAGCAAAGCAAAAATGAACATCAAAAGAAAAACATAACAGAAACAGAAACCTAACAGCATGAGCAGACTGCGTCATCTTTACAGTCAGCTTACAGTGGTTGGCGGTGATGCACATCAGTAATCAGTAATCAGTAATCACATCAGTTTCCAAAAAAGTAAAAAAAAAAAAAAAAAAAAAAAAAAAAAAAAAAAAAAACAATCCAATGGACTTGGTTTCAAAGTTTGAAGACATTTCGCTTCCCATCCAGGAAGCATTTTAAACTCAGAATGTCAGAATTAATATTGAGTTTGAAGCTTTATATTTTAGCCCATAAACTTGTTTTGGCTTAAAAAACATGCAAATTGTTCCCTGCTATCGTTTCAACCCCCCACCCCCATGGAGGGGACAAAACATCTTGCGTGGGCAGCCAAGCCAACAATTTCCCCTAACGACCCCATTTTCAGAGGCATAGCCTAGTATCGAGTTTAACAAAGAACCCAAAGCGACTCCCCATTCCTAAGGGGCGGACGCATTCTTCTGCGTCAATTTGCATGCTCAAAGCCCTGCCCCTACTGATGATATCAGAATACAGCAGACTGACTTGCTTCATCTAACTGGGTGACAGCAAGTTTCATTGATTGTTTTTATAAAGATCTGAGGCCAGATGAGGACAAATGGATTATATTACAAACTAGAACAGCATTTAGAGATTGCTAACTTCTGCCAAGCAGAAAGCTTGGTCACATATTGTGACTTAAACTAATAGCTAAAACTCTCACATGATCTGGATCATTACCAAATTTTAAAGAATTGTTCTTCGGCATGATGCACATCTCTGTTAAGCCTTAAATTGATTTTTTTTTTTTAGATTTTCAATTGATCCTGCTAACTGACAAACCAAAAGCCAGCCAGCACAGGGTTACTCATGGCATGAATTATCCTTCCTTTACGTTTTTAATACAAGAAAATATATAGGTATGAAATGCATTAGTTATTCAATAACACTGGGGTTCTAAAAGTCTACATTTAGATAGAGAAGGATAGAACAGACTTAATGTGAGGCATGTCTCCCTTCTTTTGAGTTTTTGTGTTTTTTTCTTCAGTATAATACTGAATCTGTCAGTAGTCACTGCTGGTTTTTGGGGTGGAATGCTTTTTCTGCAAAATACCCCAATTTAACAATGTTTAAGAAATCCTTTAAAAAATCTGTACCCAGATTATGAACCTTTATACAATATTTTTGCATTTATTTAGTTTGCCAAAAACATACGTTTTCAGTTTTGAAATCCATCAAGTAAAACTACATTAATCATTAGACACACTTACCCTCCAGATGCTAAATATTATTATAGTTGTCCAGACCAACCACAATGCTTTACGTCATTGTGGCAATTTTCAGCAAATAATACACTGTAACGTCATCGGCAGACACAGGCCCTGAACAGATCTGACAAACCAAGCAGATGTGGTACCTAAACCGGCTTCTTAGCTTTGTGGTGAGATGTAAATACAATCTAGATCAAACAAGGATAACTTACCCAATTGACAACAGAGTATACAGTTTATTTAAAATGTGACTCTGATAAATACCATAGAAACATGGTACATTTATAACTAAAATATATTAAAAAAAAACGTTCTTGGTCGATATAAACTGAAAAAAGAAAAACTTTACTGCACTGTATAGGCAGGAAGGGATTGCTTTACTTTAGTCTAACGTCAGGGATTAAGAAATATTAATCCGGTCTTAAATTTTCCAATTAAATCTTAGAAAAAACAATAATCAGTGCTTAACACAGAGAAGCCATATAAATCATTAAATGTTAAATAAACAGACATTTTTTCATTAATCACAGTTTTTAAACACAGTGAACTGCACTCTGGACATAATAATGCATTCACCATCAGCATTCCCTCATTGAAGGCATACTGTATTACAGCTGTGTGGCCTGTTTTTTACGGGTCGCGCTTGAAAAGTGTATTTATTTCCTGGAGAGCAGTAAGCAAGTGATTTCCCTGGGGTGTCACATTGGCTGTTATTTCTTGATACACACATAAACACAAACACACACAGCTTTGTTTTCATGATATATGGGGACATTTCATTGACTTGAATTCATTTTAAATGGCCTAACACAGAGCCTTACCCTAACCCTAATAATTTCCAACATATACCTAACTCTAAACTAAACACAATTATAGCAGAATGTCAAAATGTAGCATGACAAAGCAGCCACAACAAGCAAGCATGCCTTTATTACTGCTGTTGAAAAAAGATTTATTATTTTCGAGATTGTAAAAAAGAACTTTGAGTCATGCTTTAACTGATGCAGCTTGGGCTTGATGCAGCTTGGGTGTTTTTCTCACCCAATTTTCATGTATATGTTCAGAAAATTACCCTAACCCTAATGTTGCTTTAATTTCAGTGATTCTAATTATTAATTTCAATTTCTCTCGATTAAGATTACTAAGTGAAAGATTTGAAAACCTTTACATTTTAAATGAGGTAGCTTCTTAGCTTTTTCTTAACAAAATATTCTGAACTACACTGCATTTTAAAGCTATAACATTTTTACTTTCATGAATTGTGTTAATTGTGTTAATATCTCACAGGGCTCTTCTTTAACCACTGTAGGAATATAAAACCTACAAACTCTTTGAGCTAATATATTTTATTTTTATAAGGATGTATTTTATGGTCTTACTAACCTAATTCTGATTACAGCATGGTGCTAGGCTGAGTGTTGAACCAGGGAAAAAGGCAACAGAGGAAGACAAGTGATGTGCCACGGTAAGTATCCCCAGAAAAATGTGTCTACGTTCACACAGCAGACTGAGGTGACCCAAATCCGATTTTTCTGGCCCATACAGTATGTGACCTGTATCTGAGCTCTTCATGGCAGTCTGAACAACACAGATCCAGTTTTTTCAAATGTGTCCCAGGCCACTTGGCTATGTGGTCCTGAATCTGACACGAATCTGTTCTTTTCAAATGCGACCTGTGTCTGAACAGCCAGGTCCCATTCATCCAACCTGTCGCATTCATCCAACTACTCTGTGCCTTGCTACGCTGAAGTGGGAAGAAAAACAACAACCATGACGGATAATGGGAAGAGCATTCTTTTTATTAGCCATCTTGAAAAGATTGAGTTTTTAAGGTTAGGAAAGATTGCTAGATGTGCTCCAGCTCTACCATCCATGTTTACTACTGTAAAGACAAGGCACATTTGCTTGTGACGTCATTGCGTCCTCCACTGCGCATGTGGGAGAATTGCGTTGTTTGATTACAGTTCACTCAGGAGATCTCATACAAGTCGCATATATCTGGAAATGTGAACGGCAACACAAAATAATTGGATTTCACAAAAAATTGGAATTGAGCATCAAGGCCTGCAGTGTGAACATAGCCTTCGTTTCTTTGTTGACTTCACTCCAATTCTGATCCACAAGTCATGTTTATTTTTGGGGGTTATTTTTTTCAAAGTGAAAGATGAGTGATTTTATTTATTCATTCAGGTAGTCAGTTTCATCTTTAAAAACTGATCTCTACTATAATACCATCAATACAGAATAAAGTTAATTAATGACTGATAGATCTATGTAGCTTTAAAGGAAATGTCCAGTCAGCAAGGAATGATCAATGGATAATAATCTATACCTAAAACTAATACGTTAGTGGTGATTCAATAAATTTAGCTTTGATCAATAAAAACATAAAAAAAAATATTTTCGTTGCAATCACTGGGACCAGCCATTTTTGCCCAAATATAGTAACAACTCACTCCTGACATCTTCCGGCAGTGAACTTCATGTTGCTGCAGTCTGCAGTCTGACCGCTAGATGTCGCTAAAAGTTACACACTGTAGCTTTAAGTGTACAAAAATTGGTCCCTTTTTGTCAAAATAAAGGTACTCGGGGGCAATGCTGCAGATGAGAGATAGGGACACTTTCACCATGTGTAGCAAAAAGGGTCTTTGCAGCTCTGGGGTTGATAATTCTCATATTTTATTAGCGATCAAATATTTCTAAGACCTGTAAATGTTGGAGTAGCAGTCCAAGCAAATTTATATTTATTACATTTTGAATTTGTTGCCAGTGTAAGTGAAAAACAGATATAATCACTAGTATCTTAATTAGAAATGTACTTTGAAATTGAAGTGAACTTAGAAGTCCAACTGTCTTTATATGGCATCCATTTATATTAGGCTATTTGTTTATAATCAATAAAATAGATTGGTATCCTAGATAAGGACATATTAGATTATCAGGGGTGTGTGTTATGAGTTAGTATCCACAGGAGGAGGTACAGTATTATTTCTGTTTCAACAACCAACGGCTTAGTTGTTTTAAATAAGTTTTTGATTACCAGTTAGTTGTGGTATTGCTGTAGTTATTTTAGTTTTTTTTGTTGTTGTTTTTTTTTCCTTTTTCTAAATCTAGTAATTGTACGGTGGATAGAGCAGGAAATATGATGACCTATTTGTATTGTATTGGCAGATTGAAACAACACATGAAGTTGAGGAGTCAACCATAGGAAGAGAAACAAGAAGTTTGTTTGTCTGTTTTTATGAATGTACTGCTTAATACTGGAATCATTAAAGCTGTGCACTAAAAGAAAGAGATTTTCTCAATTTTACCAAAGATAAAGCTCTGTTTCTTTACAAAAAAGTTTTACTTTTTCCTTTTGGATTTTGAAAAATTACTTGGACAGAACCTATGTATTGTGACTGAATTGCTGGGAACTCAGTACTGACAGCAGACAGAACATCTCAAATGGAAAAAAAAAATGAATTTTCATCTTTGATTGATGTATCTTCTCTGTGTATAGTTAAGCTAAATGAAACAATCTGTCACTCATGACTAGCTTTTGAGTTTGAATACTTTATGCTTCTCAGTTTCAGCTAAAATAATTGTAGAATTTAAACTTTTACAACACATTACAATAATTATATGTATGAATCAAAAAGACTTGTAAAGACCATTAAGATATTTTCCTAACATATCAGAGAAATTGCCCAAAGAGTATTTGTTTAACCAAACTTTTTGTTGGTGCTGGCATCCTTTTTAATGCTTTCTCCCTATTCTGTTTAATTTAATTCTGTTACAACAGTATTTGTTGATAGTTGTAGTAGTATGCATGTGTGCACAAGTAGTTCTGCCGAGACTATATGAATAGGAATATTGCCTACTGTGAATCTATTTGTCAAGCTTGGATAGGCAGAACTGAGAGCTAAGAGCAGGCAGTCAACTCATTTGCCAAGCACTCAAAGGTGCTGCTCATGTAAATGTCAAGCTTAAACAAGTATCATTTAAGTCAACTAGGATATTACTTTTTATTTTGTGACATGTTTTTTTTTTATTATTATTTTGTATTGATTGTAGAATTAAGAGCTTGGATCATGTTGAGAAGCAATTCTTTGTACTACATGAAAGCTTAAGTCAAATGAAAAATCAAAGTATGGGGTGTTTTGGCTGTATAATGCAATGTATGCTCAGGCAACAACTTCTTTGATAAAATCAAGGGGTTGGAGTAAAAAAAAAATCTATTTGTCTTGAGTCAGGATGAATATTTTCAGCAAAAATTATTTTTGTTGTGCACTAGGGTACTCATTGCACCCTAATGCACATTTGCTTGTAATTAAAATTGAAAGAGTTCCTGTGTAAATTTGGCTTTTGGTGCTCCATGTGGTTATTGTAAAAAAAATAAAAACACACAACCACTGTATGCAGTGTTTCAATTAGCCACAAACAAAGCATAAAATTCATAGAGTTAAGATTAGGTGTTGTGTTTAGTTATGTCCAGTGGATTAATTGAAGCAGTTGAGTGTTATAATTGTTAGTACATCAATCTCATCAATTGAAATGTCATGGTGTGAAGAAACCATTTTGAAGATTTAAGTCTTTGTCATTTTTACAGTTTGTGGTCTCCAAGGCAGAAGAAGAAGAAAAAAAAAAGATCTAGAATTAGTGCAGCCATCTTGCTGTCAAACGTCGCCAAATTATAAATTGTTTTTATAAGTCCCTGCCTACCCATTCATCTATACGGTACATTAATAGCATTTATAATGATTTGTACTAAATGTTTATGTTTAATACAGACTGATATATTGTATATGGGCTTAGGTAGTTATATTTTGTGGGGAAAAAATGAATTGATTTTGTGTTTTTGTGAGTGCCACATCTCCATGAAGTCTGCTCTGTCAGGTCATGAATTGAATGTGAACGGTTAGGGAATTATTTCAGGTCCTGTTTAGGTTTACCCGGAGGATCACTGTTGCCAGGTCACCATTGCCTTAAGGTGTAATGAGTGTACAGTCTTATTATGTCTGAGTAAATGTTTGCATAAAACGTCTTTATATAATCAACTGTGTATATGTCTGACAGAAAGGACATGTCAGAATAATTGATCTGCTTCATATTCTGTCATATGATTGCCCTCCAGATATTTGTGTATACCAAATCAAAGATCTTTATTTAAAAATCTGCTGTTACACCCCCAGTAGAAAGTACTAAGCATTGTTTTAAAATAATTAAACCTAGTGGTTTAAAAATAATTGTATGTTTTTGGGAATGTTCAAAAATTGTTTAAATAAAATGTCTCTGCTGCTAACTTTGCATAGCTTTGGGTAATATCTTGCCATTTTCTTTTCTCTAAGACTGGCTCCAGATGGCACAGGTTGGACAGGGGGCTTCTGTCATTAGTAGTATGACTTTGGAAGAACTAGCTTGCAGTAGGAGGCCCTTCTAGCTTATATTTATACACTACTGTTTCAGAGACATAAAAGGTTTATCTGCCAGTCAGACTTCTGCTATATACATAAGTGTTTACAGTTCCCGTTTAGTCCTCAATAGTTCTTTCTCTGAATAAATGTTTACATGTATGCATACTGTACCAAAATATTCAGCAGGGCACCTACAGTTTTGTGTAATATCTTGTTTGTGCTATGTAATGTAGAGTAATAAAGCATGGCTATTAAAAAAAACCTCTGTTATTTTGTGTGTTCATTTAATTGAGCATTTTTTAATAACAAAAAGAACTATAATTGTTAGCTCTTTTGAGTTTTAAAAATACTCAAGCAGTGGCGGCTGTCCAACCAGCTCAATCACCTTGATTAAGACATAAAACTAATTAAAAGGAAATTACAAAATTTACTTTTTATAATTGATGGTTGCCCATTGACTCTTGTTACAATTTGTTCATGCGCTGTAGCTCCTCTGAAATACAGAAGTATAGGAGAGCTCTGTGTGCTCCAAAGCTACACACTGAGGTGACAGGAACTGTTGTCACAGTTGTTGTGTGGGTGATTGACAGGCTGAGTCGCGGGAAAGAAGCAAACTTACCAAGAGAAGCTGGGGGTAAAACCGGTTGGATCAGCAGTCCGAAGAGGCGCTACACTCTGTCTTTTTCCAGGACCTGGTTTAGCTACAAGGCTTGGCTAACTGCAAACAGCGAGGCTAACGCTTTATTCTGCTTCCTTGGATGCCTGCCTCCTTTTTCAAATGTAAGGATCTTTTTCTAGATGTTTGTTAATTTGCATAGTTTCTCTTAAATAATTAGTAAATTAATAATTATTTATTTTCTCTAGGAAAACAAGAAATATAAAGCTGACTAATAGCTTCTACATTTTAAAACTGGTACATAATTGTTTTAGGTTTATGACATCATATTGGACAATGCAATACACAGTTTTGCCTTCACAAAGCCAAAACCAAAAAAGACCTTAAAATGAGTGAACTTAATAAGCACTTAATAAGATGATTTGGCAATGGAATTAGTATCTTTACTCTTAAAATAAGATAATTAGATAATATGCACTTCAAATAAGACAATATAATTGTTTATACAAATTTTAAATGTAAATTGTCTTGTTCCATTGGCAAAGTGTCTCACTTCCCTCCTTATTTCAAGAAAAAAATGCAGTTATTTTAAGAAAAAAATGACTTTTTGAGATTTTAATAAATAAAAAAAAGATAAATAAAATAAACCTGTAAGTGAAATAATTTTTGTTTTGATAATGTTTTTTGTTGTTGACATTCATATAAATATACTGGTGTGATAACATATGTGTTTAATTTTTTTTTTGGTATACGTCCATTTTCACTTTATAGACCCACTGGAGAAAACTCCACCAGCCACTACTGTACAAGAGACACCATCTTGCTGCATAAAACTGACAAATTGATTTGAGTCATACATTATATGAGCCATCCCTTTCTCTTTGAAAATGTACCTTCAAGTTTAAAGTACAAATCTCTGCTAAAACTTTAGATAGTAAAATATAGAGGCATGAGTCATCCTCTTGCCTACTTGAATGAACTTAATGGACTAAAAGACTTATTAGTTGCTAAGCTACCCTTTACATTTGCTGCATAAGGCTCCTCTAACACAAATAAAGCCTTAGATAAAATATCACAGTAACTGCTTTCCCATAACACAACATAAGACATGTAAATCTCCTATTAAACCTTTTTGTTTGATAGTTTGATTAAAGGTTTTTGTATGTGTTTTTTGAGTAAAGTTAAGATCCTGTTTACATTTTTACTGTATTGCAACATTTTAATAACAACTCTTCATTTTTTATTGTTATACCTTAATAGAAGATTACACAAATGACGTATCCGAGTGTGTGATGATCATTATCTAAAACATAGTTTTAATTTCAAATGTTTTGTCTGTATTTTTGTCCTTACTTAAAATGTGCAACTTCATTATAAAACGTTTTTAAAAAAGCATGGTGCAATATACATATGCTTACACTGGTAACATTTAGATAAACATTAAGACCCTGTCACATAAATTTAAAAAGACCTAAAAGCAAACTTAAATCAAATGCTGCACAATATCACAAGTCCTGTCCCCCCAATGATGTGAACCAAAGATTAACACATGAATTGTGACAAAGTTTGAGGCAATCATACTGATTGCTGTTGACATATTGTGGAACTCATGCACAGTGCTGCAGGATGGATGCATTGGCATTACTGCAAGGCATTCTAAATGGGAGAATTAGGGGGAATGCATTTCTGTTAACACCAAGATCTATAGGAAGTCTAATGCTCCATAGAGCATTGCTCTTGGATGTATGTGCTGATGCGTATCCAGTATTGGAGAGATTTCTGCCAGAGGTTATTCATGCATCTCCAAAAAATATTAGGAAATATAAAATAAGCTGATGTAGCTGACATGGATAAATTTTTGGCCTATATTACAAACGATAGATTACACAGGATACTGGTTATCCAGATTTGTAGTCTTTTCCCTTTTTTTTTTTGACACTTTAGACCCTGTCTATCTGATCTTACCCGAGCCACATGTTTTACACTTCATCAAGTATAGGCGTAAGATATAGCACCCAATGTTTGATGGCATATTCCATTATAATGTTTACACTCTTGAAAAAGTAAAACCTTGCTGAAAAAAAAAAAAATGATGTCCACATTTTACATCTAAAATATTTGACTTCACAGAATCTGAATTTAATCACTTGTTATGACCTAATTATTTTATGTTGATGTAAACACTAATACTGCTCTTCACCAACTTAAAATCTTTACCCTGTTCAAATAATTTTCTGGACATTTCAGTTGATGAACCAAACTAATATACTGAAATTGAACCCACCTAATGTACTTACTTTTTTACTAAGTTTACATTAATTAATGTTTGTATTGACATCAATGAGCTGCTCAGTGGCGCAGTGGATAGCACTGCTACCTTGCAGCAAGAAAATCTGGGTTCCATTCATGGCTCTTTCTGCATGGAGTTTGCATGTTCTCCCTGAGCATGCATGGGATCACTCCAGGTACTCCGGCTTCCTCCCACAATGACTGTTAGGTTCATTGGTTTCTTTAAATTCTCCTTAGGTGTGAGTGTGTGTGAATGGTCATTTGTGCTGTTTGTCTCTGTGCTGCCCTGCGATGCACTGCTGACCTGTCCAGGGTTGTACCCCACCTCTCGCCCATAGACAGCTGGAGATAGGCACCAGCACCCCTCGCGACCCTAGTAGGGATAAGGGAGACAGAAAATCGATGAATGCATGCATACAGTAAATTGACACCAGTTCGTTATTTTATAACCAAATTATACTTTTCACATTTCAAAAATGATTTCTATTGCCATATTACAAACTCTATTAAGAAACGCCTGACCAACACCACAACAGCCCTCCTGCTCTTTATAACATAACACTGGAGGTTCCCGCTGCCAGTGACGGCCAGGTATCCAGCCTTTAACTCCAACAAAACTCCACACTGTACCTTCAAGGAATGTTTGTTTAGCTCTGGATTTAACAATCTTTTTCTCTAAGTTTTCAGTTTCACGTTTATCCATATTTTCTTTGTTTTCTAGCTTTATTGGTGAGTTCTGGATTTATTTAATTTTCTTAGGTTTTTCTTTCCTTGTCCTCTGTTGCCCCTTTGTGTTTTCTTTTCCCTTGGCCTCCTCGTCAGCTCTAATCACATCTGCTCCTTAGCAGCTCGTTTGTCCTGCCTTTGTTCAGTCAGCCATAAATACACTCCCTCTGCAGTCCCTGAGTGCTGGTTCCTCGTCTTACTTTGTCTCACCCTGGCTCTTTGTGATTGTTTTCCCCTGATGTCTACATGGTTCTGGTTTGTGTTACATTTTTATGTTGGATTTTTGGATACCTGTTTTTGTTTAATATTTTGAAGTCGGATTTTTTGATTCCTGTTTTTGCTACCTATGTTATCCAATTAAATCTTCAAAGAACTCACCCCTGCCTCTCAGCCTCTGAGACTCATTTGGGTCCTTACAATAACCTCGAACCAAATCGTGACACTGGATGTAGCCCGGTTGAACGACCGAGGGCTTTCTTCTAGCCAATGTTAGCGATTCATTGTCATAACGTTATTGGTAAATGTGTAAACCCTCTCCGACGTCAGCTAGCTAATATAAACTAATTAACCAGCCAGCTAAAACATTGATTATTTGCAACTGCTTTCTTACTTGCTGTGATTATCGGTGAAATCCACCCAGGATGTAGAGATGACGAAAATAGCGCTCTCTAATGGTCTGGGACTTGTGCTCTGACTGCATGCAAAGCGAAATTCACATTTGACTCAAACAAAAAAAATTACCTGCAGGTCTTAAATAAATATAAACATATTAATAGAAATCAAAAACTTAGTTTAGGGTCCTTTGTACATGTATTTAGTTCAGGTTAAGTCAAACTTGATGTCTCAAAATCCAAAAAAGAATGAGTTACACAATCAAATCAATAACTTAACAGCTACATGTTACACGTTTTTCAGTGCAGAAGAAACATTTATTCTTTGCTGTTCTCACATCAACTGGAACTGCATCACTAGCTTAAAAATGCAAAACTATTTTGCTGCTTTCAAAGAAAAATACTGACTTTTGTGAAACACAAACAACAGCAAAAAATTCACAAGCTGGAACAACCACAGAAATAAAGCTCTATCGATTGCGGAATAATAATGAAGTGTTTGATCACTGTCAAATAGCTTTTTCTTTAAGTGATCACACCCCTGACTGCGTTCGGACAATACTTTATCCTCAATCTAGCAACATATCATTTGTCTGCATACAGAACACAGATGTTAATCTAAATAGAATGTTTTCCTGGAACTTTTAAAATACTATAATTGCTAAAATACATATACTTTTACTCTCCAGCACATTGAAAATACTGTAGGGCTTTTATAGTTATTGTTTACAACTCCCATGTGTACTGTAACTACTTTAGCAAAAAAAAAAAATAAAAAAATGAGAAAAATATAAGAGGAACAGTTAAATGTATTTGCTGTCCCTGTTTTTGAGATAAATTATGTCAAAATCAGGCAGTGAATTGAAAGCAGTAGCTATCAGTAGTTGTCATAACCTCCTGCTGTGTATTTTCCAATCATTGCCTTTCTGTTGTCAACGTCAAGAAGGTCAAGGACAGCTGGAACCACCACCCCTTTAAGGCCACTCACAATGGTGGGTCTATGTTCTTGTCACTGCACA